GTTTTTGAAGATTGTAGGTGTTGGAATAAAACAAGAATCAAGAGAGTTGTACATACGAGATAGATATAAAAATAACTATTAAAAATAGAACTTTTGGTAAATTTTTTATATCATATAACATAAAAAGGTGATATATATAATATATAAAACAATTCTAGTAATATGCTTAAATTCACACGGTCGATGTACCAAGGAGGAGAGCTCAGAAAAATTGCCATTAAAATATTTATGGAAAATATTTATCCATATTTATATATATTATATTGGAATAGTATAAAATCGACATATATATATATATATATAAATTATCAAAATATGCATTCATCTGGAAAAAAAATTCTACCAGAAAAATACCGTCCTGGATAATATGATAAATATATATATATATATATATATATAAACTACATCATTTTTTCCTGGGTATGAAGATAAACTAAAGTGTCCTGGGTATGACGATAAGCTACATCCGCGTCCTGGGTATGACGATAAACCATATCATATATCCTATAGCGTGACGATAAACTATATCCGCGTCCTGGGTATGACGATTAAAAAATGTTTACATCCTGGGTATGACGATAAACTACATCCGCGTCCTGGGTATGACGATAAACCATATCAGCGTCCTGGGTATGACGATAAAGTTTTCAGTGTCCTGGGTATTAATTTATTAATGTATGTGTTTTTATAATAGTAGTTTCTAATTGACGATAAACTTTGAAATTTCATAAATAGTGTCCTGGGTATGACGATAAACTACCTCCAAAAGCGAGGAAAATATGATTTATGAGGTTTTATATAATATGGAACCATTTTCTAAAAATATTGGTGTTCCGATTCCACCTTTCATACATAAAATGAATTTATGGCAAATGGTTAATCCCTCCCCCAAAAAATGGGAAAAACAAACTGAATATCATTTATATTAAAAGGTTTTAATATATAAAATATTGCTAGCATACATTTTGGGTAAAAAATATATTTTTTTTAATCGTATAAATTTTAAAAGATTCCTTTATTAGCGGCAATATAAAAATCTTGTCGATCATTAAATAAATTTTGAATTGAGGTGTTGATATGCCGTTTGAAACCAAAATATAAACCAGATTAAATAGGAAGGGATAACTTATTTAAGGCAAACTGTCTTTGTAATTATAGTGCTCGTTATCAGGAGATATAACATTATTAATAATAAATAAAATAAAACAAATTAATTAAAAAAATTACAAGATACATTTTAAATATTTATTTTTATTTTTTTATATCTTTTTTATTTATGACTCTATATTTTAAAAATGGCAATTACTGATGCAGTTTTTTAGTCCTTCTTTATATCATACATTAACTTTTCTGAAAATAAATGTTGATCAAAACCCTCAAACTGTATTACCATTTTTCGTTTGTTTTAAAATAAGAAGACGCTACCTTTAATATGATTTTAGCCATTTTTTAAAAATATGAATATATATATATAATATATATATATATATATATAATATATATCAACAACATTTTTATTAATAACGTCATCATAAAACTTTTGGATTATAACCAGGTTTTATTTTATTTATTATCTTCTGCAATTTTTGACAGTCTTTTTACTGGAACTTTTTGACAGTTTTTTCTGATTTATTATATAAACATATATTCATGCATATATATATATATATATATATATATATATATATATATATATATATATATATATATATATTGCTCTGTATTAATTTTAAATACATTGTCTATCTAACCTATTGTTTTTTTGAAATATAGTTTTAATATTTTATATTACTAAGATCCACTTTGATATTTAAATAAAGTTTGTTGATAATAATTAATATTTATGAACACCACAAATAAATACACACACATTTATATAAAATATAATATATATATATATTAATATTTAAACAAAATTTGTTTCACTAGGAATAACTTAAAAAAACAAATTTCCATTCTTAGATGTTCTCGAATAAAAAAGCAAAACATATTTATTACATCATTATATAAATAACCAACTAACAAAAATAACAACACACCATATAAATATTTAAAAACCATGTCCATTTATCTATGAGTTTAAATAGCAGTAATAAAAAATGTGTTCCTGATCAAACCGGACTCATAAATAATTACATCGGTTACACAACTACATGCTTATCTAGACGTCTTACGTTACACCTATCTGATCACAGATCCATTAGAACCCATTTAAACACACAGACAAACTTATCGACTCCATTAGAAACATACTAGTAGAAAACACAAATATATTAACTGCATCCACCTGCAAAAAAGAGTAAAAATAATGGAAGCTTTAATAATAAAAAAGAAAAAGCCAACTCTTAACAATATTAACTACGAAAAAGGCCAAAATGTGCTAACCGTATTCGGAAATTAAAACATCCCTACTACACACTAAGACATACAGATAATGCACACACTCAATTAAGCTGAAAAATCGAATAATGATAATTGATAATGGCTAGAGGTATAGCCGAAAGCGCTCGGAAGTATAAAACATTTGTACAGTTTTTACACACTCTTTGTCCAAAAAAGAAAGCTCTTGTCAGAACACAAGAAAAATTAAATAAAAAGCTTAACCGTAGTACCTTGTCTGTCGCTTTTAATGAAACATGCATAAACGAAGGATTGCTGCCTAAATATACAACTATATATATATATATATATATATATATATATATATATATATATATATATATAAGTAGGTAAGTAGATCGGTACCATACATTCAACAAGAATTCATTTAAATAAGTTATATTCCAAAGTTCATGTTCTTTTTTGTTCATTTGAAATTTTTATTAGGATGTGGACGACAACGAAAAAAAAAATTTAATAAAAATTGGACAGAAAAAACATTGTCGGTGGAACTTAAAACAACTTCCTCGTGTATATATATATATATATATATATATATATATATATATATATATATATATAAATTCAAAAAATTATTTTTATTGGATATCCGTATTTGAAATAGACGCCCCGTTTTTATTTTAAACAGTGTGTATTACATCTATCAAGCCGAGCAACTGAGATGTTTTCTCGAGTTTGAAATAATAGAAATGTCGGATCAAATACCAATTCATTAGTACACACACACACACACACACACACACACATATATATATATATATATATATCATATGAGATTATTCTCTTTATTATTATTATCATCATTATTATTATTTACCATTTAATTATTTTGCCTGCCTCGGGTGATTCATACATTCATAATTATTAATATACTTATTATCACAATAATCCTTATAATTATAATTATAATTATAATTATTATTATTATTATTATTACTATTATTATTTACCTTTTATTTTTTGGGTTTGTGTCGAGGGATCAATTTTCATTAAATTTATATAATAAACTTCTAAAAACTTGGAAAACTTTATAAAAAATAATATCCGCGAATTTGATAGGAATATGAAAAAAGAGATGTTTTCCTGTATAAATGCAATAATAATAATAATAATAATTTCTGTTGTAGTTGGAGCTCTCCATATTGATTAAAAAATGTTCATTTGAACCACTCATTGAAGATTCCTTGAGGGCCCAAATAAAAAAGAAATACAAAAAAAAAATGTACTCACAAGTACAGCTCACTCCTTACAAAGTGCTTTATCAGTGTAAAATGTTTGTGATCTTAGGTTTTCTTTTTTCTTTTTCTTTTACAAAAATGATCGGTGGAAAATATCAGGAAATCATTTCTGGCCTTAGGTTTCTGGTTGGGACCCGGTTGCAGATATGTATGAAATCAGTGGAAATAATAATAATAATAATAATAATAATAATAATAATAATAATAATAATAATAATAATAAACCGCCCAGACATTGTTATTAAAGATCACAAACAAAAACGGTGCCTCCTTATTGATATGGCAGTCTCTGCTGACTGCAATGTATCTTTGACGATATTCAAAAAGCTGTCAAAATACAAGGACCTTGAAATAGAAATCTCGAAAATGTGGCATATGGGAACATCAACAACCCCTGTTGTAGTTGGAGCCCTAGGACTGGTTGGAAAAGATTCCAGTAGACTAATTGAAGGGATTCCTGGAAGTCCATGCCTCAAAGAGATACAAAAAATTGTTCTCACAAGTATAGCCCGCACTTTACGAAGGGCTTTATCTATGTAATTTTTTTTTTTTTTTTTTGTCAGTGGAAAATGTCATGATGCCATTTCTAACCTTAGGTCCCTGGGAAGTATCCGGAAAGAAATGTGTACACACCAGAAATCAAAAGAAATAATAATAATAATAATTAATAATAGTAATAATAATAATAATAATAATAATAATAATAATAATAATAATAATCTATAGCTGAAAAGGAAACGAAAAGATAGAATAAACTTTATAGTCACTGATACTATCATTCATTTATATTATGTTATATTACGAATGATGATTATTTATAATGAAATATTGTGTTTGATGGCGTAAAACTCATCTTCTTTATAAAAAAAAATTAAAATGAATAATCGAAGTCGAATTATTTGCAAAGCTAATGTTTATCAAGGCGCCGCCGATTCCCATTACTGCTTAAGCCTCAAACACAATAATATTAAATATAAATGTCGGATATGGCATGAAATATGCAACTTTAAATAATAAACAATCTCTGCCTTTTTTTTTTTTTTTTTTTTTCAAGATTTTTGCTTAAAAAGAAATAAAAAAAAGGATACTAGGAATAATATTATTCGACTTGCTGTCACGCCAGCAGCCACGATTAGTAGCAGATATATAATGGGAACATGCAAATATATGAAAAATAAAATCGGTAGGAATTTTACTACTATTAATATCAATAATAACAAGCATCATAGTATAAGTCTGCTTGGTCCTTAGTTACGTTACGTTACGCTACATTACGCCCTACTAATAACTCCTAAATGGACTATTCCGTTTTGATCACGAGGAAAGACAGAAAAATAGCATACGAGAGACACTGTTTTGTTTCTAAGAAAGAAAGAAAGAAAGAAAGAAAGAAAGAAAGAAAGAAAGAAAAAAAAAGAAAAAAATAAATAGAAGACAGAAGAGACGATAGATAGATAGATAGATAGATAGATAGATAGATAGATAGATAGATAGATAGATAGATAGATAGATAGATAGATAGGCTGGTGTGAAAGAAAGAAAGAAAGAAAGAAAGAAAGAAAGAAAGAAAGAAAGAAAGAAAATAAGAAAGAAAGAAAGAAAGAAAGAAAGAAAGAAAGAAAGAAGAAAGAACAAAAGAAAGAAAGAAAGAAAGAAAGAAAGAAAATAAGAAAGAAAGAAAGAAAGAAGAAAGAACAAAAGAAAGAAAGAAAGAAAGAAAGAAAGAAAGAAAGAAAGAAAGGAATGAAGGAATAGATAGAAAGCAGAAGAGACAATAACGCTCTCGTCTCTTTGACGTCTGCTTTAGTAAAATGAAAAATTTGTCAATTTTTTTTTTGATTTGTACCCTCTTACTTCTTTAAATAGTGACCTGCATTCATACTTATGGTTCTTATTACAATATTTCGTTGAAGCTATTAAGCTCAAATATTTATCGAAGCAATAAAGAATTTCCACGAGTATTTTATAGTCGTAGAACAAGCGCGGAGCTTATTCAATGATTAAGAATTAAGATTCTTCAAACAATTTGAATAGCAAAACCATGAAATTTTCACGGGTTTTCTCGTAATAATTATTGCATTAATATCACTCAGTGTTTTCAAATAATAATAATAATAATAAATAGAATTTTAATAAGTGATGTATAATTTGCCAATATAATTATTCAATGGGCCGTATCACAATCGTACTGTTTTACTGTCTCGTGTTCAGCTTCGAAATGAAAGTAGAAAATAGAGAGTAAGTAGGGGAGAGTAAGCAAGGGAGACGTGACAAGGGAGAGTAAGGAATAAGGAGCATTAGAAAAGAGACATCTTTGACGTGTACACGTACACCATGTGCGTGCGCACTTCCATTTTCTCTCTCTCTCTCTTTCTCGTTTCTCTCTCTCTCTCACTCTCCCCTTCGCCTCTTTCACCAAAACATCAGCGTCCTTATTCACCTCCCCCCACTCTCATCTTCATCATCACAACACTTCACAATTATCATCGTCAACATTAACAACAACAATTCACAAAAAAAAAGAGCGAAGGAAAACTAGCGCCAACAACAATGAATTTGGGTCTTCCACATACCTTTTTAAAACCTTTATTTGGCCTCCAACCCCTGTTTCCGCCATGGTCACCACAAAAGAAAATTTCACTGCCGCCACCCCCCAATTTAAAAGGCTGTTTTATAAGATACAGAACGTGCGACCATTCGGACTTTTTTCACTTGTTCCTGTCATGACTTTGCACACCTTTCAAGTAGGTTTTTTTTTTTAATAATTATTTACATACTCTTCTCTAAAAAAAAATAGGTAAATTGACAGACAGCGCGCGTACGAGTGAGATATATATATATATATATATATATATATATATATATATATATATAAAAAAAGAGAGAGTGGAGAAAACTGTATGCGTGCATGTGTGCTTGAGTGTGTGTATTTTGAGAAAGAGAGAGATACCAGACCTATCTATACACATTTAAAGCAATACCACCATTACATTACCTATGTGACAACGAAGCTCGATTGGTAAAAAAAAAACAAAAAAAAAACTGGTTCGTTATAGCCTGCATAAAAAATGTGGGAAAAAAAGAAAAGAAAAAATACCTATAACAGAGAAGAATATTTTCCTTCACATCTAATTATACTGTGTAGATTTTTCCTTTTTCTTTTATTCCGTCTCTATTTTTCGGTTTTATTTCGTTCGATCTTGCCTCTATATTTTCTCAACAAAATCAACGATAAGTACATATTACCAACTAGACGTACGAGTAGGAATAACATTGACCCATCCAACTATACTTCAGTCAACTTACCGACCTGTCCATCTCGTTTTTTTATTTCTTTGTGTGCAAGGGGTACAGTTTAGATGGACTGAGCATATCGACTACAAGGAAAGGATTTTTTAAAAATCAATATAACATGAGGCAAATACTTTTCTCGCGCAATATCAGTGCTGCTTTCATTGTCTATCTGTGTCTGTGCCTATTTGTCAGTCTGTCCCTAAGTCTATTTACATCATCAGTCTGTTCATTATCCATATTCGTCGCTTTATTATTCTATCTATCTATCTATCTATCTATCTATCTATCTATCTATCTATCTATCTATCTATCTCCCCAATCTCTCTCAGTCTTTATCTATCTATCTATCTATCTATCTATCTATCTATCTATCTATCTATCTATCTATCTATCTATCTTCTCTTCCCCCGCTCTGTCTCCGTCTCTGTCTGTCTGTTCCTATTTATCTATCTCAGTATTGTTAATCTTCAGATTATCTATCTATTTCAGAATATTCACTCTCGCTTTCTCAGGCTATACTCATATCTATCTATCTATCTATCTATCTATCTATCTATCTATCTACTGTCTCTTCATCCTCTGTTTCTGTCATTGTATTCCCTACCTCTCTCTCTCTCTCTCTCTCTCTCTCTCTCTCTCTATATATATATATATATATATATATATATATATATATATATATATATATATATACATAAACATATATATAAACCTCTTTTAATAATCCTGATCTATGAATTTCTTTGTGTCTATTCATCTGTTACTTGTTCTTTCCATCCATTTTGTTTTCGGTCTATTTAACTTATCATGTGATTTGTCAATTTATTCCCAAGGTTGTTGAAACAAAAACATCTTTCCATCCGGCGACCATAGTCTGATATGGAACAAGGTAGGATTTCGAAAGCTGCTTTTCAAAACGAGAACCATGTTAACTGGCATGATTGTGATCTTTATTTCTTCATTAACAATCAATATGTTCGTGTCTTCGGGGAAATGTCTAATAGTTTCATTGCATAAATGTCTGTTCAGTTGAAGATCTCTGGGTCCAATCATTTAACTATGGAAAATAATTTCATTTCATTTAAGCTATTCGTATCTAATCTTTACATCTCATCGTATATAATCTTTAGTAAGGAAATAGCAAACAAGCAAAATATACTAAAAAGTACATTATGCTTCTTTGCTCTATTCTTAATTGTTCATCTATCTATCTATCTATCTATCTATATCCATATATATATATATATATATATATATATATATATATATATATACGTCTGATGGCATTTTTGTATCTTCAGTTTATTTATTTAGTTTATGCATTATTCTTGTTAATTATTTTTAATATATATTCAAGGAATTTTATATTCTTCAAAGAGATAATGATATAATTTTTCGCTTATAAGTGACGTCAGTCAACAGAGAATATTGA